GCTGGCCTGGGAACGCCTCGGGATTCCCCCAGAGGAGCTGGATGAAGTGGCCAGGGAGAGGGAAGTCTGGGTCTCCTTTCTAAGACTGCTGCCCCCGCTACCCGATGGATGGATGGGGATAAAGACCAGCCCTGCCTGGCCCCTCAAAGGAGCCAAAAAGGAGGAGAGGTGTTTGCATTAGTCTGGAGGAGTGAGGAGGGGGAGCAGTAAAGGGTCTGGACCATGTAGGTAAAATAAGAGCTGAAGCCTATTCTGTCCTGGACCCTCCACAAAAATGACCAATTCATCCTATTGAAAGCAGGGAAGGGAAGGGAAAGGAGGAAGCAGCATGTAATACATGCAGCAGGTAGCGTATTTTGTCGGTGGCATGGCAGGCTTGGTAAAGCCAGTTTGATCCAGGTGAATCAATTTAGAAATCTCCGCCTGCAGCTGACGAGCAAGCAGCTTCGCAACAGATTCACAAGCAGCTTGACATCAGAGTTCATCAGACACAATGGGCAGTAGCTGGAACAATCTGTGTCTCAAGTCATCAAGGCTGAATTAAGAGAAGGATGAAGATGGGAGGCAGAAATAGCAGGATTCAGCATATGGAAAAGCGGAGCAGAAAGCTGTTTCCGAAAGGCAGAAAGGAGTTCAGGAGGGAGGCCGTCAGGCCCTGGACATTTCCCAGGGCTCATAGATGCCCGATCCTCTTTAAGTTCAGTGACTGAAAGAAGCACCAAGCATGGAGGTTTCTGGAGCCAGGGGAGTGGTAAAGCACCAAGAAATGAATTGGGATCAGAGTATGGAGAGACAGTGGTTGGGGAGAATAAATCCAAATAAAACTGTCCTTAGTTTTAACTGAAGAGATTGTCAAAAATGAGTCTAACTGCCTAAGTCTGAGAGCACTTGTAATAAGGGTCTCATAATCTTGGTTCACAACCTGAGAGTGCGCACTTTCTAACAGGGATAGGTGCTTTTCAAGATCAGAAATCTTTTGACAACATTTGCAAGCCATGCCGCTGGCAGAAAGCAAACAGGGCATCATGAAGAAAGCCCATAACAGCCATCCAACAGTAGGCTAGGTCATCAGTTTAGCCTGCATTGATAGAAATAAATTCTAAGGAGTCAAATAAGCTATAAATTTGGGATTTGAGCTGTATTAAATTTCCATTGCAAGGCCCAATGGGGTAGAGAGAATAAAGATGAGGAAAGCAGAGAAGCATTAGAAATAGCAGGTACAAGAGAGCGAGGAACAAAGATGTAGTCTTTGTGAGACTGGGACTTGAAGTGAAGAGAGAAAAAGGAATATTCTCTGGAGGACAGGTTCATTAAATGGAATGGGTCAACCATTGAGGTCTTCCACAAATTTACACAAGGAGCGAGTGGAGGGGGGCACCCAGCTACCCGAGTGAGGGGGATTTATCCAGGACAGCATCATGGACAGCATTGTCATCAGTTCCAATAACAAGTTCAAATTCCTGGAATTTACGAATACAGTTAGAGAGGTTCTGGGAGAATGAGCCACGTGAGGGGGAAGGGGCATAACCAGCAACAAAACAAGCCTTCCTACCCCCCCAGGTCGGAAAGAATATAACAGAACCTGCCATCAGCATCACCCTCC